AAATAAAATAAATTTTATAAAAAAAAATATATATCAGTAAATTATAAAAATCATTGGGGCTCAAGCCCCAAGACCAGCATAAAAAAATAACCTATGATAATTTTAGCAGACAACACCTCAGCCAGGTGATTGAAGTTAGCATTGTCAATATGGGACACACTAACAGACACAAATACAGTGTTGCTGTCAAAGATGTATAACCCAATTCAATAAATGAACAAACAGACAAACCTATCTTGAGGAACAGTCTACAAAACTACTTGCCTATACTTTTTTTTTTCTTTTTTTGTCAGTCATTGGGCTTGAACTCTGGGCCTGGATGCTGTCCCTCAGCTCTTCAGCTCAAGGCTAGCGCTCTACCACTTCAGACAGCACCACTTCTGGTTTTCTGTGTGGTTTAATGGAGGTAAGAGTCTCACGGACTTTTCCTGCTTAGGCTGGCTTTGAACCGCAATCCTCATGTCTTAGCCTCCTGAGTAGCTAGGATTACAGGCGTGAGCCACCAGTGCCCAGCTCACCAATACTCTTAAATGTCAATATTATGAAGAACAACAATGTCTAAAGATATTTTTTCAGATTAAAAGAGATTTATGAAGCAAAAATAAAATACGGGATATGATTCTGGACTGGAACATGAATTGGGGTGATTACTGAGAAAATTAGCAAAATTTAAAATATTAACTATATATATTGTTAGGTAATAGTATCCTATCAAAGTTAAACTTTTTGAGTCAGAGCATGATGGTACAGGACTATAATTCCAGCACTCTGGAGGTTGGGGCAAATGGATTACAAATACAAGGCTAGCCTTGGCTATAGAGTGAAACCTTGTCTCAATACATACCCCACCCTATTGAAAATTAAAAATTTCCCATTTTACCATTCATAGTTTGATTATTCAAGGGCAAAGGGTCTAATAGTTGCCACGTACAAAATGTAATTATATGTGTATAAACAGAAAGGGACACAAAGGAAGAGTATCCATAAAAAGACAATTTAGCGAATATAGATTAAGAGTATATGTAGCTATTTGTATTATTCTTGCAATTTGTAAGTTTGAACTGGTTGGGAAATAATAAAGGTAAAAAAGCACAAATACTTGCTGGCATGGCAGCAGTCCCAACTACCTGGGAGGTCAAGATGGGAGGAGCAAGGTTGCAAGGTAAGCAGTGGTAAAATTTTACTGAAACTCTCTCTCAAAAACAAACCAGGCACTGGGCTCCAGTGGCTCACACCTGTAATCCTAGCTACTCGGGAAATCTGAGGATTACAGTTTGAAGCCAGCCTGGGCAGGAAAGTCTGTGAAATTCTATCTCCAATAAACTACTCAGAAAAAGCCAGAAGTGGTGCTGTGGCTCAAGTGGTAGAGCACTTGCCTTGAGCACAAAGAGGCTTGGGGACAGTGCCCAGGCCCTGAGTTCAAGCCCCAGGACTAGCAAAAACAGCAAAACAAAACAAAAATAGCCAAAGCTTCTAAGGAGGTCAAAGTCAGCCCAAGGCAGGAGCCTCTTATTTCTATTTAACCACCAAAAACCCAGAAGTAAAGCGGTGATTCAAGTGGCAAAGACTAATTTTGAGTATAAATGCCCAAGTACAGGGCTGGGAAGGTGGCTCAGTGGTGGAGTGCTTGCCTTGCATGCCTGAGGCCCTGGGTTCGATTCCTCAGCACCACAGAAGCAAGAAGTGGCATTGTGGCTCAAGTGGGAGAGCGCTAACCTTGAGCTGAAGAGCTGAGGGCCCAGAGTTCAGGCCCCACGACCAGATCCAGAAAAAAAAAAAGTCTCACAGAGACTTTTTAAAAAAAATAAAAAATAAAAGCCCAAGTACAGTGCCCAGGCCCTGAGTTCAAGCCCCAGTACCAACTTACAAAAAAAAAAAAAAAAAGAGGGGTGGGGGAGGGCTGGGAAGGTGGCCCAGTGGTAGAGTGCTTGCCTTGTATGCATGAGGCCTTGGGCTGAAGAGCTGAGGGATAGCACTCAGGCCCAGAGTTCAAGCCCCACGACTGAACAAAAAAAAAAAAAAAAAAAAGCAAGGATGGTGGTTCATGCCTGTAAGTCATTCTATTTGGGAAGCATAGGTAGGAAGATCACAGTCCAAGGGTTATTAACCTAATCAAAAAACAGAGTCCTGCTAAAAAAATAACTAAAAGTAAAAAGGATTAGGAGCATGACTTAAATCATAGATATATGATAACTATATATCTGTACAGTAAATAAACTGTAAATAAATGATAAGCATAGAGCTCTGAGTTCAAACCCCAGTAAAATCATCATACCAATTAAGGACTTTGGCTAAGTTACAATACAAAAGTTGCCTTTTGGAAAATGGACTTGTCATAATTCTTTTTTTTAATTTTTATTTATTTTTCATAATTCTTGATAATAATAATAATTAAGGCTGAAACTCTGCTCAGGGTAAGACGCTTAACAGAAGGAAGCAAGATACTATGAGTAAGTTACCCAATCAAATTAAGTGATTCTGGGGAAAACTACCTGCTTAGTGTCATGCTAGCTGTAATTATGATATAGGAAAAACTCACACAGGAAGTGAAGACCTCCTTCCTCTGTTTGTCTTCTTCGCAATAACTGGAGTTCCAAAATGCTCTGGATTTGTTAATGGAAGCTGGTCTAGTGTCTGGATAAGAAACAGATAAATTGAGTTACTTTTTATAAACCACTAGTAGTAGTTCTTCAACCCCAGAGGTTCATCACTGCCGCCCTACCTCACTCTCGGCAAAATGTCTCTCCCCTTTCAGGCAAAGTGAGGTGCGTCTCAATGTCCTCTCATCCCCATCATCAAATACTATTGTAAGCAAAAGACAACAGAAATTTAGGCACAGTGATTAAATCAAATTTAACAGTACAGAATCCTATTATTGCTGCTTAGTTAGAACTTAATGTTTATAAGAATCATTGTTTAGCCATTTTACATTGGTTCATTTTTAAATGAACATACATTTTTCACTTGTTAGATATCACACAGACACAGGCACCAACTTCCTCAGTAACTTCACTGGCTTTTTCAAGTTCGATCACTCCACTATGATCATCTCTCTTTTTTTTTTTTTTGGGTCCGGTTGTGGGGCCTGAACTCTGGGCCTGGACACTGTTCCTCAGCTCTTCAGCTCAAGGCTAGAGCTCTACCACTTGAGCCACAGCACCACTTCCCGCTTTTTTTCTTTTTTGCTTATATGGTGCTGAGGAATTGAACCCAGGGCCTCATGCATGCAAGGCAAGCGCTCTACCACTGAGCCACCTTCCCAGCCCATGATCATCTCTTATTCTTTATTTCTTTGCGATGTTGGGGACTGAACCTAAGGCTTTGCTCATACTAGATAATTGCTCCATACTTCATCTGCCTCTAGCTCTTTTTTATCAGTATTGTTTTATTATCACTACATTTGCCCTGACTGGCCTCAAAGCAGAAGTGCTTCTGCCTCCTGATTGGCTATCATTACAGGCTTGGGGCACCACACCCAGTTCAGAATCTTCTTCTAGGCCCATTAGCAACCTAATCAAAGCACAGATATTAAATTACCTTCTATCTTTGAAGAAAAGACAAGACCTGAATTTATTTTTATTTATTCATTTTTCTGTCTTTTTATTTTTTGGGAGGGCAGTAACAAGGCTTGAACTCAGATCCTCATTGCATACTAGGCTGGTATTGTACAACTTGAGCTGTTGCTCCAGCCCTGCTTCTGCTGGTTATTTTGGAGACAGAGTTTAGCAAACTATTCTGCCCTTGCTAGCCTTGAACCTTGATGCTCTAGCAATAAAACCATTTGTTGATGGGAAAAAAATACATCTTTATTATGAGTAGAAGTTATAATCAAAACCAAAAGGATTTCTTAAAAGGAGATTATAGTATAAACAACTGTCTTCTAGTTATACATAGGAACGCTCCCAACTGAAAGTAAATAGAATCAGTTTAAGAAAAGAAATTTTAATTCACAAAACTATTCATATGTGTATGTCTACACATACACATATGAATTTGATACATTTTTTAAGTAATTTTTAAGGATTTTTCTGACCTGGAAGACTCAACACCATAATGGACCTATAAATCCTGACATTTTTAATAACCAAAATCATGAGAAGCTCCTTTCGTGTTAAAAGCATTCAAAAGACCAAAACTTTGTAGGCATTAAGAATGAATCTAGTATTTTAATAAGACTATAATGATTTACCTGTTGTGTATAGTAAATTTAGCTTTTCTGAATTTCAACTTACCATATAGCATGCCAAGAGAAAATAAATCACGCTAGAAAAATTTAATAATTCCAGGAAACATTTGATACTTGCCAAATGGCATTTGTATAGATAATTCACCAAGTGCCATATATATGAAGTATTGTCTAAATACAAATGTTAAATATAAAGCTTATTTCAGAAAAAAGATATAGCCCCAACTCTAAAAGTAACACTAATCATACTAAACAGACAAAGGACTATAAACAAGGATGCAAATGTTAACCTTAATCTGTTAGAATTCAAAGAAACAAAACTGAAGAATCTAACCTTCTGTACTAAGTACAAAAGACCTGTCTACCTGTTATATTATTACTGACACTATAGGACAGTAATTAACCTAACCTATCCACAACACAATTGCTATCATTTATTAGCTTTCTACCATGTCCTAATACAAAACCAGCCTCTCTGCAAGGTAGGAATGGCTAGCTTCCTTTTATTGATCAATTTTGAACCAGAAAGGTGACCAATGACTACATCTTGATTAAGAGAGGGCTGTGGCGGGGCACCAGTGGCTCGCACATGTAGTTCTGGCTATGATCTGAGGATCATGGTTCAAAGTAAGCCTAGACACACAAATCTCAGACTTTTATCTCCTAACAAAAAGCCAGAACTACAAGTGTGAATCAAGTGATAAAACATCATCTATGAATGAAAAAGTGGAGCAAGAAGCCCTGAATTCTAGTCCCAGAACTAGCACAAAAACAAAGAGGATCAAAAGGAATAGTGAATAGTTGTGAAGAATTAAGTGTAAAAATAAATGAACTTATACAAACTTAGGTATACTTAGAAAACATGAAATAGTGCCAGGCACTGGTGGCTCACACCTGTAATCCTAGCTACTCAGGAGGCTGAGATCTGAGGATCATAGTTCAAAGCCAGACCAGGCAGGAAAGTCCATGAGACTCTTATCTCTAATAAACCACTAGAAAACTGGAAGTGGTGCTGTGGCTCAAGCAGTAGAGCGCTCACCTTGAGCTGAAGAGCTGAGGGAGAGTGCCCAGGCCATGAGTTCAAGCCCCATGACCGACAAAAAAAAAAAAAGAAAGAGAGAAAGAAAGAAAGAAAAGAAAGAAAGAAAGAAAGAAAGAAAGAAAACATGAAATAGCTTATTGCTGCTCCTAGGCTACAAACAAGGAGCAGAAAGAAAAAATTCTGACTTCAGGAAATACTGTTACTGTTATATGTGTACACAGTACAATGACTAGTATATTAACGAAGCAAAAAACTTTAAAATTAAAAGTACATGTGATGTGTATATGAACAGTTTAAGGGTGCACACTATAATTTCAGCACTCAAGAGATGAGGCAAGAAGTCTGACAGTAAAATAATGATAGTCTCAAAAAACTGTATATATACACATATATATGTATATACATATACACACTTATATACTCTGGATTAAAAACCAATAAGCTTCTTTTAAAAATAATTATTTTTAAGGGACCTGCACACTGTTCCATAATGACTCTACTAATTTAAATTTTCACCAGAAATGAATATGGTTTCCTTTTCCCACATCCTCAACAGCCATTCTAACAAGTGTTAAGTGATACACTTCACTGTGCTTTTTATTCACATACCGCTGATGATTCATAGGTTGAGCATTTTAAAATATATACTCATACACCAATGAACAATGGGAATATGTGCCCAGAAATGTGTGGGTAGGTGATTTCATCACTGGGAGACAGCAGTGAACTAATACAAACTCAGTTTGTAAAGCATATTACTGGCTAAATGTTAGAGCAACACTAACATAACTGTGAGCATTTGTGTCATTACAAACAGAGTATAAAAGCTTTTTTAAAAGAACATTTGTATCTGGGCCCTGGTGGCTCACACCTGTAACCCTAGCTCAGGAGGCTATCTGAGGATCATGGTTCAAAGCCAGTCCAGGCAGGAAAGGCCATGAGACTCGTATCTCCAATTAACCCCCAGAAAACCAGAAGTGGAGCTGTGGCTCAAGGTAGTAGAGCACTAACCTTCAACAAAAAGAGCTCAGGGACAGTGCCCAGGCCCCTAGTTCAAGCCCCACAACCGACAACAAAAAAGGAAAGAACATTTATATGGGGCACTTAAACTTCTTGTGAGATCTGCTAGCCTGCAGGACTGGCAGTTGCCCTGGGTGAGTGGGTGAGTAATAACTCAAAGGAAAGGCCGAGGATGTCACAGTGCACTACTGTACACTTTATATATACTGTACTTATGATAACAAAATTTACCTGTTTTTCAGTAATAATATTAGTTTATAACATTGTAGTTAATTATTATTAATTTTTCATTTGTACGCTTGTTTGTATTAGCCTTTTGTTTGTTTGGTATGATTAGTTTTGCTTTCACAATTTCAGCTTTGTCTTTTTCTTAAATATGTTTTAATACTTAATATTTGTATCTAGTGCAGTAACAGATACTACTTTGGGATATATATACGTACATATATTTGTGGCACTCAGTGAATTGTCTATACAAAATCCCTTTTTGGGCTCAAAGAACACTTGCCTAGCAAATGCAAGTTCCAGCCTAGTACTGACAATCAAAACACTGGGAAAACTGTTATATCCTTGTGCTGTGAGGTTTGTTTTTTGTTCACTTTTGTGTGTATGTGTGTGTGTGTGTGTGCACACGCGCACGCACGTGTGTTGGTACTGAGGCTTGAATTCAGGGCTTTATGCTGTCCCGTAGCTTTTTCACTCAATGCTGCCACTTTACTACTTGAACCATGTCACCACTTTCCTACCCCAGATGGCTATGAACTATTATCTTTAGAGTCGCTAGGATTATAGGCATAAGCTACCAGCGCCTGCTGTTACTTGCTTTTTGAGACAGAGTCTATGTATCTTGGGCTGGCCTTACACTCATGATCCTTTTAGCTCAGCCTCCTGAATGCTAGGATTACAGGAATACACTGCCATGCTTGTTGCATTTTACTTTTGGAATTTTTCTTTCCTCAAGATTTTAAACTTCTTGAAAAACTAAGATGTAAACACACACCATGTTAGGCCAACAGAGGGTCAGTATCACTGAAACTATTCCACCTGCACATGTCCCGCGGGGCAGGAACACATGGAAAGGCCATCTCTTGTGAGAATGCTTCTGGAACATCTCTTCAAGGAGTTGTCTGAGGTTGACTTATGGTTAACAGGTTTTTTGTTAGTAGTAGAACACTCTAATATAATAATAAAAAACTAGCATAGTCATATGCTGTCCTCATCAAATGTTATGTATTATCCATAATAGTATGCACTTCATTTCTGTATGACTGGCAGTGCAATAGGTGTGTTTACAGTTGCATCACCATAAGCAGATGAGTAATGTGTTACAATGGCTACAAAGTCATTAGGCACAGGAACTGTTCAGATCCATTACAATCTATGAATATATCATCATATGTGCACTAAGTCATTGTCCACATTATGGCATTATGAAGAACATCACTGTTTCTAGGCCATTGTAGGTGTTCCTTTGAGAAATGACTATTTTAGGTCCTGGTTAAGTTTTCTATTTCAATAACTAACATTTTAAAATATTTTTTCAATTTTCCCAAAACCTGTCTCTCCTTCTCAGTGTTTGGGTCTGTTTTCTAAGAGTGTACTATTTGTATCAGAATCATCTAATATGCTTATTAAAAGGAAGCTTCTTGAATTGCCCTTCTCAGCCCTGCTCAATACATTTTGAGTGCTCAAAACTTCTTTGGGGACTGGGGTTCGAATTCATGGCTTGCTTGGCTTGCTCTATCCCTTGAGCCGTGCCTCCAATCTGGAATTCTGCTAGTTATTTCAGATATGGAATCCCAGAGACTTTTCTGTCCAAGCTAACCTTGAACCTAACTGTTCTGGGTCTCAGCCTTGTGTTTTATAACGAGTCAACAGTGTCCAACAAATCCCTTTTTGTAAAAAACGAAAAGCTAACCGCAATAAATTTTTATGTACACTAATGCTTGAAACTTCAATTATATGTAACTCAGATTCCAAGTAATTTGAGAACAAGAATTACACAATTTCTTCCATAATTATCCAATATGGAAAATCTTACAGTAAATGCTAAGTAGTAACTAGCTTGTTGCAATGCTAAAATGCCGCTCATACAAAGGACAGAGAATCATAACCGAATGATTATTGTGGGCTGCAGAAACTCAGGATACGGAGAGGAAAGGAACTGTTTCTGGAGCCATAAGCATGCTTGGCAATGAGTACCACATACAACACAACATCAGAATCTGATCAGATTATGGATCACAGTTTTACATGATTCTACACACACACATCAACTCCTGTAATTTTTACCAGTGTCTTGCTTCATATAACAGATTTATTGACTTAATCTTTCAGAGTTACTATTAACTTCAGTTTTTAAATCACTAACAACTATCAATAGTGCCAAATAAGCTTACTAAAAATACATAGTTTAGTAGAATGGTATCATTATAAACAAAGAATATATAGGAAGTCCAAGGAGACTTTTTAGGTAGGAAAAAATAGTCTCATACAACAACAAATTGCTAATACTAAAAGAAGACATGGGAACTGCATTTTTTTTTTTTTTTGCCAGTCCTGGGGCTTGAACTCAGGGCCTGGGTACTGTCCCTGTACTGATTTTGCTCAAGGCTAGCACTCTATCACTTGAGCTACAGTGCCACTTCCAGCTTTTTCTATTTATGTGGTACTAAGGAATTGAACTCATGCGTATTAGGCAAGCACCCTACCACTGAGCCACATTCCAGCCCCAAGAACTGAAATTTTTAACCAATTTTTAACCTACAGTGAATGACTTTTACCCAAAGAAACAAATCAAGTAAAAGTAAAACTAACAGGTCATTTCTTTTCCTTTCATAAGGAAACCACATATTATAATCAAACAACTTACATTAAAATATAAATGTGTTATATAGGTCTCTCCCGTGAACCAGTCTTACACATAATCTGCAGAACTATAAAACTAAAAAACTACTGAGTCTTGGAAATGTTACTATTGCTATTCTCATGAGCCTAATGATAGCAAATCTTGTAATACTACTCGGGTTTAAATAGATATTCACCCCCCAAAAAAAAAAAAAAGAGTACAGTTAAAAGAAAAAAAAATCAAACAAGGCCTTACTTTTCAAGTGCAAAAAAAAGACAAAAACAAAACAAAATAAAAAAACAAACAAAAAAAGTTATAAAAAATGGACCTTAACTCTAATGCATGGGTCTCACTGAAGCTTATTAAAGTTAGCATCAGTTTACACAGACTGTTAAGAATGCATTCACACTAGCAGATTATTAAATCTCTTGTAATAAGAGAATACCTGTAACAATAATTAAGAATTAGGTTATGGCATCTGGGCTTGAATCTACTCTGAACATATTTTCAGTCTGTAAATTATATAGTAACATCTACACTATCTTTATATAAAACAAGTAATAGTAGCTCCCATGTCATCTTAATTGCAATGACAGTAGAAGTGAAAAGATCTTATTATTCACAATATTGTTCTCTCAGTTTGTCTTAGGAATAAAATTAATCATGTATCTTTCTTGAAGAGAAATGTCAAAGTAACCTAAGGCAGAACTACATTCTTGGGTGAAACAGATACAAATAGCCACATTACTATAAAGAGTAACTATTTTTGTTACCAGCAGATCATCATTAAAATTTTAGCTAGTTATAGACAGGAAATTGAGAGGAAATAGTACATGGTTCTCTGTCAACACAATATTTCAGTGTACCTACAAAACAAAGATACATCTAATCCCAAAGTAAATGTATGTATTAAATTACTTAACTAGCCTGGGAATGGTGTTTCACACCTCTAATCAATCCTAGCTACTCAGGAGGCAGAGATCTGAAGATTGAGGTTCAAAGTCAGCCTAGGCAGAAGAATTCTTGAGACTCTTATCTCAAATTAATCACCAGAAAACTGCAAGTGGCTCAAAGTGGTAGTGCCCTAGCCATGAGTGAAAAAGCTCAAGGATAGCACACAGGCTCTGAGTTCAAGCCCCAAGACTGGCAAAAAAAAAAAAAGTTCTGGGAGCATGGCTAAGAACATCTGTCTAGTTAGGGCCTGAATTCAAACCATAGTCCTACCCTCCCCATAATGTAACATAAGATAACTTTGCCTCTTTGCATTCACAATGAGTCTTGACAGTGCCCAGGCCCTGAGTTCAAGCCCCATGACTGATTAAAAAAAAAAGTTTAACTACTTACCAACAGTATACCAACTAGCATCTGTCAACTTGCTGATAATAGCTTCCTGAAAGGATCCATCAGATGTCCTTGTTTCAACAATCGCTCCGACCTAAAATATGAAACCCAAATGTCCTTACCAAATCACTCTCACCAGCTATATGATATGAATACAAAAATTTTTTTTTTATAATTCCTCCTTACTCTGGTTTATCTTTACCCTTTATAGTGTTCCTATCTTTGTTAAGTAATTTGAGACTCAAAACTCTTAGGCATAAGTAACTATTTTGCAAACTGAAAATTATGGCTCAGAAAGAGCAAATAATTTGCAAAGTCCAGGATGAGAAGCCAAATACTAAAATATAAGAATGATAAAACCATAAGACAACTAAATCAGTCTCAATTTTCTTTAACAGCAATGCTGAATATTGTATTTATCACTTGTATTTATGGGAACTTTTCTCTCTTTATTTTGTCTGTCGTGGGGCTTGAACTCTGGGGGCACTGTCCCTGAGCTCTTCAGCTCAATGCTAACACTCTATCAGTTGAGCCACAGCACTGTTTCCAGCTTTTTCTGTTTATGTGGTGCTGAGGAATCAACCCAGGGCTTCATGCATGCGAGGCAAGCACTCTACCACTAAGCCACCTTCCCAGCCCCAAGAAGATACTTACTCTTAAAGGACCCTTTACTTGGTCATCTTGAACCAATTGTGTTGTATTATCCTGCTTCAGGAGTACCTGAAAAACATGTGTACAACAGTTGGCATGTTGCTTTTAAACTGATACATTTATAATAACACTGTAAAGGATACACTATAAAGGATGCACTGTACTTTCTTAGTACTCTGTGGTCACCTCTGGAGTAACAGTTGTTACTTTGTTGTATATTTACCTTTATTGTCTCTCTGATTAACTGTGAGCTCCTTGATGGCTGGAGTCCTCCTTTATTACTATATCCCCTGCAGTTAGCAAGTGTCAGTGCATAGTACTGGCATTTAATAACTGTTCACTAAGTGAACTATAGAAGATTTACAATCTACAGTGATTGCTGTAAAATCTTTTTTTTTTTGGTCCGGTCGTGGGGCTTGAACTCTGGGCCTGGGAGCTGTCCCTCGACTCTTCAGCTCAAGGCTAGCACTCTACCACTTGAGCCACAGTGCCACTTCCACTTTTTTCTTTTTGCTTATGTGGTGCTGAGGAATCGAACCCAGGGCCTCGAGCATGCAAGGCAAGGGCTCTACCACTGAGCCACCTTCCCAGCCCCATGATGTAAAATCTTAAAACTGATTTTAGTGAGTTTTATCAGTTAACTCATAAAAGGTACAAATATATGTATATGTATGTGTATACATATATTCATTTATTTTATTTACTTTTTTTGTTGGTTGTAGGGCTTGAGTACTGTCCCTGAGCTCTTTTGCTCAAGGCTAGCACTCTACCACTTTGAGCCACAGTGCCATGTATAGTTTTCTGGTGGTTAATTGGAGATAAGTCTCATAGACTGTTCTGCCCATGCTGGCTTTGAACCACAAGTCTCAGATCTCAGCCTCCTGAGGAGCTAGGATTACAGGCATAAGCCACCAGTGCCCAAGCAGCCAGGCACTGGTGGCTTATGCCTGTAATCCTAGCTCCTTCAGGAGGCTGAGACCTGGGGATTGTGGTTTGAAGCCAGCCAGGGTAGAAAAGTCTGTGAGACTCTTATCTTCAATTAACCACCAAAATGCCAGAAGTAGAGCTGTGGCCCAAGTGGTAATCTGAAGGAAAAAAAAAAGTTCAGAGACTCAGGCCCTGAGCTCAAGCCCCTGAGTTTACAAAAATAAATAAATAAATAATGAAAGATCCACAATAATGCTAATACATACATAGATATATAAGAATCTCATATTTAATAAGAAAATTTTAGCTGGGCACCGGTGGCTCACGCCTATAATCCTAGCTACTCAGGAGGCTGAGATCTGAAGATCAAAGTTCAAAGCCAGCCCGGGCAGGAAAGTCCATGAAACTCTTATCTCCAGTAAACCAGCAAAAAACTGGAAGTGGTACAGTTGGCGCAAGTAGTAGAGTGCTAGCCTTGAACTGAGGGACAGCGCGCAGGCCCAGAGTTCAAGCCCCGCGACCAACAACAACAAAAAATTATATAGTTTTATACTCCCTAGGCTATAGAAAATACATAAATGCTAAATGACATTCTAATAATAAAGTTTCATCAGCAGATCAAAACATAGAAAGAAATTTTATAATAATCATGAATAAAATCTATCTTCCATACAAATGACACTCCTTCATTCAAGGACTCAAACTTTAACATGCATCAGAAATATTCACAGTGCTTGTTAAAACATAAGTAATAAACCTTACCCCCAGAGTTTCTGGTTAGAAAGCCTGGGGTAGGGACTTGAGAAATCAGCATTTTTGAATGACTTCCCAGGTGAAGATGATACTGTTGGTATTAGAGTCACACAGTGAAAATTATTGCTGCTATTCACTCATTCATTCACCAGGATGTATGGCACAATACTTTCAGTTTTGGGTATAGAGTAAGTCAAATATGTACTCTTTTGATGGTTCTTAATTTTGATATGAAAACATCAGATACATAAATAAAGCAAACTGAAGATACAGTATGATTCAATAATAAGAATGTCATGACAGCCACAGTGTAAAATCGGAAGGACCACACCAAGTCTTTTTGGAGTATTATCAAAGGAAGAGTTTCATGAAATGTAGTTTCTAGCTCCACAGTGTTACAAGTATTTATATAAGCATGGATTATTTTTATACCTAGGTAAAACTACAGGTACAAAAATTACTAGAAGGAACAAAAAAATGTTAATGGGTATTTCTGAGAAGTAAGATATGAGTATTAGATACATGTGTACTTTCCTATTTTCCCCAAATACTGTACAGGAATGTGCTTAACATTTTTCTGGTCATAAAAGCCATCAAAAGTTTAATTCCCAGGGTAGTTCTTTCCAATCACTGAAACTGCCTTTACTGGGTTATTATGAAAGGGGTAAAATCAGATTATAGCTTAAGTAAGTACACTGCCACAAATAGGAACAATCCAAATGATAAGAGTGTGTGAACATGAAATTCTGAAAGTGTATTTTGGAATGATTGCTCAGTTTGAGGGGATTTTTTTATTAATAAGTTTTTTTTTAATTGTGAAAATACCATACAGAGGGGTTACAATTACTTGAGCAAGGTAATGAGTACATTTCTTACCAAGCATTGTTGCCTCCTCCTTTGTTTCCCCTTCCCATCCCTGCCCTCCCATCTCCCCACCTGACCCCTACCCCAGTTTGAGTTCTTATTCCTCAATTCTTATTGCGCTTTCCTGTAAGTATACTATAGAACCAGAGCTGTCACCATAGTATTGATTCAATCAACAAAATCATCATTTGCAGTATTCCCCCTGCAATTAGTGAAACTTCAATCTCTTTAATTCAGTTAATAAAACTGTTGCATTAAAATAAATGTATTACCTTCACTTTCACTAGCCTTTTCACAGTTTTAATCTTTGCCTCACAGAAGGCACCTCGGTACTTGGCGCTGACATCCGTTCCCACTGTGAGATAGGCCGGCTCATCCGCCGCCTAGGAAAGGAACACAGAATGAACAACACCTCTGTTTCCCCTACTCCAACTGCAACAGCATAGGGGTTTTGTATTTAAAGTAGTTAGAACGGTCAAATAATTTGCTAATTGCTATCATCAACAATTTGAAAAATACCCCTAAAACATACACTTTATTAAGAATACTTTATTTTACATATTGATGTCTTGATGCCATACAAAGTTTTAAAGTTGTAATTAGAAATTATCAAGAAGGAAATGTAATACTTGTTTTACAATTTTTTGAAATTCTACAATCTATGTAAAAATGAATATATATATATATATATATATATATATATATATATTCACATGGAATGTCTCTGACCTTTAACATAAACATTTTAACATGTCAATAAGAACACTTCTGGCCTCCTGATAATTTTACTTTTAAATTAAAAGAATTTGGTACTAACTGCATGATTAAATGTTCAGTGATACAGCTTTATAAAGGCAACATCTTTTTAGGCACAGATAAGAAACCAAGCTAACCCTTTAGCTTTTTGCAGCTAAATGTTGCACTTAAAATGTTATGTCTGAATTGAGCTTATTGGAAGCAGGTACAAACTAAGGGCTCAAGACTGTAGTCACACATAGTTTACCACAGAATTTTCTTAACATTTTAAAAAGAAAAAACAAAACAAAACTTTATTCAGAAACATCAGCTCACACTTGTAATCCTAGCTACTCAGAAGACTGAGATCTGAAGATTTGGGTTTGAAGGCAAGTCTGTGAGATTCTTACCTCCAATAAACTACTAAAAAACAACACATCAAAACAAACAAAAAAGAAATAGCCCAGGCCCTGGGTTCAAGCCCCAGAACCAGCACCAAAAACAAAAACAAAAAACAAGAAATGCAATTTTACTTTTAGCAAATGGCTTTCATCACAACCATACATAGACGTGAGAAATTTTGTTCTACAAGTCAGTTACAAAATTATTGCAATCTCAGTCTGTCATTTTACCTATGCTTTTCAAAAGTTACATGTAGTCATAGAAGTTAAATACAACACTACTAAGTACAAAGGTAGGTGTTTTCTTTAGCTACATTTTTTTAAGCAGAAAGTAGTATTTCATTTTCCAGGAAGTTTTCCCTAGTAATATTAAAGGTTAGAACTGTCTCTTCAAGAAAATAGGAAAGAACAAATTAATAATAAATTTCAAAGCTTAATACACAAAGACAGTACATGTGAGATGAATCCAGCATTTAAAATCATAGCATTTTGCCCAATTGCCTATGGCTCACACTATAAACCTAGCTACTCAGAAAGCTGAGTTCTGAGGATCCCAGTTCAAAGCCAGCCCAGTGAAGAAAGCCTATGAGACTCTTATTTCCATTTAATCACCAAAAAGTCAGAGGGGAAACCTTGGTTCAAAAGGTAAAGTACTAGCCTTGAGCAAAAATAAGGGATACCAGTACTGACAAAAAATAAAGTAAAAATCACTGCATTTACCAAATGTGCAAACTGAAGAGAAATAGTTTTGACAAATAAATACCTGCCCAGAAATATTCAATAACCAGGGTACCCTGAAGAATGTTGTAATATCTTTCTTTTCTTTTAATCATCCACTCACATTTCCAAGATAAGGCATTGTAAGAATATACATACATATATTTGGTATAGTCATACATTTTCAAAATATAAAGATAGAACTAAAACTCAGTGCTACTAGTTTTAGTCCAACCTAAAATATTATAACCAAACAAGTGCTTTATGCTCAGAAATAATGGTATCTTCTTCATTCAAGGCATATATTCTTTCTCTTTCTCTTACTTTATTCAATCCACTTATTTTTCCTGGCAGCAGGGAAGAAAAAAATTCAAAAAATCCCCCAAAGAACTAAAACAGGACAAAAGCTTTACTTCTGCAAAGGTTGCTGCCAACACAGGAAGTGTTTAAAAATACTAGCCCAATGGTCAACAATTGAAAGCCTGCAGCAGCCTTTCTAAAGAGCTACTATAGAGGACTGAGCTGACTAGATTTAGCCCTATATTTTTCACTCAGCCACACGTCTGTTCCCTTTCTCTAAAAGTGCTGTTTAGTAGAGAAATTCATATGCTAACCCCCAAAATGCTGCTTAGTAGAGAAATCCTTTAGAAACCAAAAAAAAAAAAAAAAAAGACATTCTACGACGGCAGCCTCACAACTGTCAATGTCCGGGGCACGAGGTTCAGGAGAGTTGACTCCACTTACCTTCATTTTTATTGGTGATCGGTGGGGTTCCAGCTCAATGAGTTATCTTCCCAGTCGCTAGAATCATGGAGAGAGGAAAGACAAGCACAGAATCAGCCAAAAGCGGGAGCGACGGGGGAAAGAAAGTAAACAAACGCCAGCGGGGAGGGGCACAATCCTTCCCCAGCCAAGGGCTGAGACCCCCTCGGAGGGCAGTCAGAAGGTAAGAGCCAGCGGGCAGCCAGAGCCTCACGCGCGCCAAAGGGCAGCCCGCTCCACCCCGGAGCTCGACAGCGGCCCACCGCGCCCCCACCTCTCGGGCCACTTTGACCCGGAATGCTCAACTCCGGAGCCCTAGGTCCGATCGCCCAGGAAAAGGGCCAGAAAGAAAAAAGACACCGTCTGGGGCTTCCTGAGTCCCCCAACAGGGATGGCCACCCAGCCCCCCCACGCCCCCCGCTCGGCCGATTCCCGGATACCCTGACTTTGGCCCGCGCCCCGCCTCCGCCGCTCGGCCCCCTCGGCCCGCCCCGGCCCGCGGTGGCGGCAGCAGAGTGTCAGGGCGCCATTGCTCTCCTGCCTCCGCTCTGCTCCGCGCCGGGAGGGAGAAGCGCTCCTTCGCCCGAAAGGGCAGGGGCGGCGGCCTGCAGCGGGGAGCCGGGAACCAGAGGGGACCCTCGCGCGAGGAGGGGGCGGGGAGGAGGAGGGGAGGCGGCCCGGACAGGGTGTGGGAGGGGAGGGGAACCGCACCGCGGCAGCCGGCGCCTCCTTCCGCGCCCGCCGCAACTTTTTTGTACAGCCCGGAGAGGAACCAGCCGCGATCAAACCTCCGGGGGTCCTGCCACGGACTCCACCGGGAGAGGACGCCCAGTGGAGTTGGGGGCTGGTTACCCCCCAAGCAGCCCGCTCCCGGCCGCAACGGAAGCAAACTTAGCAGCGCGGCCAACCCCACAGCCATTTTCCCGGGGCACCCGGGGAAGCGGCCGTGGAGGCGGCTGCGGCGGCGGTTCCTGCAGTTGCGACCGCTGCTCCCCGACTTTGCCCCTGCGTTCGCTGCACCGCTAGCCTGGCATCCTTCTTTCCACCTCCAAAGCTTCCAACTGCACCGGGACCCTGGTCAGCAGCACCAGCTGCTACTGCGGCTCGGTCCATTCAGTGTGCCCCGCTTCCCTTCTCCCGCCCTACCTACTGCGGGTGAAGTGTGCGCTGTCAGCCCTCAAGTCCTCCGCCCCACCGATCGCCGTGGGCCCCCGTCCGGGCAGCACCACTCCCGGTCGCGGCGGTAGTTCCTGCGCCGGGTTCCCCCACTCGCCCCGATTTACTGCCACAATCCACCAAATAACAAGCTGTTGAGCAGACTCGCTTCCACACGAACTCCTATTGGCTGTTCATGACGCCGAAGAGCTTCGGATAGGAGCTCGCGACCTGCCGTTCTCATTGGATGTAGCCCTGAAACTTCAACGATTGGTAAGAAAAACAGCAGGTAGGACATCTGCCACTTCTGATTGGCCGTCTGCGAACGCCAATGTTATTGGAGGACCGGAGATTGAGTAAGCAAGTACTGGAACGTGATTGGTAGAGACGACTCCGGATGTGCTTGACTGAGCACTGATTGGAGAACGGAGGGGTCAGGAAGAGCAGTTCGGTCCGAGGATTGGCAGTGGAGTGTCCCATGGAAACGGAACCCCAGAACTGCGGCCAGGGACTTCGCACTGAGGGGTGGGGGGGCGGGGCAGTCGCTCCGCAAGGCGCCTGCGCGAAACCGGCTTCTCGGCGCCATTTTGTCCGGGCAGCATTGGCCGCAGCGCTATCGCGTTTTCTGTTTCTGGGGTGCACGAAGCGGAGTGCCTGGTTTTTTTTCCCCTCTTTTTGCGAGAGACTCATTTCAGTGTGCTACTCATCCACTGTTCACCCCGGGACAGCACCCAGCGGAGGTCGAGGGGAGTCGAAGAGCCGTCTGAAAGGTGAGCCGAAGGCTATGCTTATCGGAGCGACCGGAGGATGGCGCAGCTCCGGCGGCGGCGCCGGCACCGGAAATGAGGGAGCCCGAGGCGGCCATGGTGAAGTCGCTCCTGCCGGCGGCGGGGCGGGGGTG